ATATATATATATATATATATCTGTTCCTTTGCCAGTTATTAGAAGCAAATCAAAGTGTTACATTCCACTTATTCACGGAAGCCTCTCATAAGACAATGGTGTGCTTGCAATAGCGAGGAGCTGAGGTGGCTGCAGTGAGTGAGGACTGCCAGGGCCACAGATTGAACAACACAGAATCACAGAATTTTAGGAGTTGGATAGGACCTTAGAGATCACCTCATCTCAACCCCCTCCGCTCCAACCCCCTGCCCTGGGCAGGGACACCTCCCACCAGAACAGGTTGCTTAAGACTTCAACCAACCTGGCTGTGAACACTGCCAGGGTTGGGGCATCTCCTACCTCCCTGGGCAACCTGGGCCAGTGTCTCACCACCCTCACAGGAAAAAACTTTTCCCGGATAACTGACCTATATTTCCTTTCTTTCGATTTGTACCCATTCCTCCTTGTCCTGTCACTGCAGCTCCTAACAGAGTCCCTCACCATCTTCCCTGTAGGCCCTTTCAGGTACTTGAAGGTTACTATGAGGTCTTCACACAACCTTCTCTTCTCCAGGCTGAACAGCCCCAACTTCCTCAGCCTGTCTCCACAGAGGAAATGCTCCAGTCCTCTTGTCAACTTCATGGCCTCCTCTGGACTTGCTCCAACAGTTCCATGTCCTTCTTATGTTGAGGGCACCAGAACTGCATGCTTTCGCAACGCAAGATCAGAGTAGAGGGGGAGAATTACCTCCTTCGACCTGATGGCCACTACAGCCAGCACTCAGTCATCCAGGCCTGCTTGCCACAGTAGAGTCTCCAAATCTGCCCACCTGCCCTAAATGATGAAACCAGCCTCTCCTAATGGTCCAGCTAAAGTTCATACCTGTTCAACTGCTCTTGTGCTTGACTATGCTACTGTTGCAGTGGAGCCCTTGCTCTGGGTGAAGGCAGCTGAAAATCTGAAAGGACACTGGTTTTAAAAGTGCTCGAGGCCTTTGGGAAGTCTCATCTGTCTGAAGATTTTGTATTCTGAATCAGAGAGCTAATCTCAAACCCCATCCATGCAGCAGCTCTCTTGAGTGGGGGATTAAGCTGCACTGGTCATCTAGAATCTGCATCTTTCCAGATGCAAGATCCTCAGGTCACCTAGGTGAACCCTGCAAAAAAATTGTATGATGACATCCCTATTAAGAAATCTTCCTCTGCCTCTAAGAGTAAGCAGCTCACATTTAGAGACCTTGTTTGGTGTGTGGGTAATGACTGGCTGGTGTCTGGGGCTCCTATCTAAAAATATAATTCACACATCTAGGTCTTAGTTTTCATAGGTGCGAACTATTTTCTTTCATCACTGGTACTGATCTTACACAGTTTGCAAATGCAAATTCATGTACGTGACCTTCTCTGCCTCAAAACCAGGTAGCCTCCTCTCACAATGTGCTGTTTTCCTGGCATGGAGTTGGGGAGAGTATAGAAATTACTCAAAAAATGAAGCTTATCTTTGCTCCTGAAATGTTTTAGTTTGGGTTGTTTTTTTTCCCAAAAGTGCTGTGTCTAGAACCACTGGGCCACTTCCCTTGTTCTCAAAAGAAACTCTCACCAGGCACATGGGACTTCTGCAGTCTGATCTCTGGCACCTGCAATGTATTCCACTTCTGATGCTTCCTTGTCTTCTCCCTCTTTCCAAACACATTACTCTGTGGCTTGGTATGTAGGATTTCTCTCAGGAACTTTATGGGTTGCCTACATGGCAGTCTAGCACAGGTATAATTTTCACTTAATTATTGCATATTTATCTGTGATGTCAAAAGTTTGCTCATACTGACCCTGGGAGCAGGTTTCAAGTGTGCTGCAGCAGAGGCCGGGAGGGTTCTTGAAGCCTTTAGAGTTTTTGAATGTTACTTGACCTGTCTCCATGCTGTTAAGACCACTTTGATTACAAAAGGATCGATACCTTGCTGTTTGTCTAGAAGTGTCTTAAGTGCTATTGTCATCTGCTCGCAGCTCAGATGAAACAATTATTACTGTAAGAGTAGTGGCTTTACATATGTTGACCATTAGCCACTCTCAGGTCACTCTGGCTTTTAAGGAAAGCAGCAAATGTCATTTACTACAGTGGCACTGATTTGGTCCTCTCTGGTTAAAGGACTTAATAATTCTGTGATCACACTGCTACTTTCTGGGACATCCAGAGCTTCCTACAAAAATCGTGGATTAACTTTGTGTATATAAACAGTGACACCAGCTACTGTGGCCACAATGTCCCCTCTCCTCATCTCTGCATTGGTTAAGCCTACAGTGTGCTTGTTACAGGCTCAGCATTGTCATTTTTAGTGACTGACACCAGTAAAAACAAACATCGTAACAAAGTAAAATCAAGGCTCTAGAACAAACTGAATTCTGGCGTCTCAGTGAGTTAATTTCTTCTTTCATCACTTCCTGACCCTCTTCTTCCCCACAGTACAATCCTTGTTTATTTTTCCACCTTGCCTGCTAATTCCATAAAATCCTTTCCTGCCCCCCTCTTAAATGGAGAAGGGTGACAGGTATCACAGCCATGTCAGTGCTCACCATGGGAGGCACTGTCTGCTTGGACGAAAGGAAAAAGCTGGAGACGGCACTGTGAGGAAGGTGGCCACAGCAAGTCTCCACCAGCCTTGTGACTTGAGTGTCCTGTCACCACCTCATATCCAGCTAGCTCATGCTTGCTTCACAGTCCCAGCAAGGGATTTCCAGTGAGGAGACTCCTGGCTTTTTACTACATTCTCCAGCGATACAAGGGGAGGAAATCTCTGCTTTGCTTAAGGAGTGTGGCTTCACTAGTGATGGAAGGGTACTGGTTGGGTTATTCTCAAGGGCTTTTGAATCACATTTATTTGGGAGCAGCCCCTAGGCTGCTTTGGCTTTCAGTGACACCTCTGTCACCAGCAGGGTTCACAAGAGAGGAAAAACAGTGGCGTACCACATCGTTTTATACCCACTCCTCTCCTTTCCCCATCAAACTTGATCCCGGCAGGATGTTGGACTGAGAGTACATAAAGTGGTGGTCCTTCTGATCTTCGTAATTGCCTGTGGCAGGTAATTAACAACACAAGGGTGTTGGTAATGAGAGAAAACACAAATGTCGAAATTGCAGCCAGTTTATTCTGCTGCAAGATGTTAACTACAAAAAATCTAGCATGTTGTGTCGGCCCTACCCTTAGGAAAAAAGGGCAAGTCTCGCACTCCCACTTAGCCCGTGACAGCAAATGAAGTTAAAACTCCTTTGACTGTCTGCTTCTTGCAATGTGAGGTCCTTGTAATGAAACCAGCAGCAGTGTTTGCTCCCAAATCTACCTATAGCTCACACTGCTACTCCAAATGCCGGTAACCTATCCAAGCTGTTTGGATACCTTCTAAATTAAATGCTTTGTTTGCGTTGCAGGTGTGCCGATGTTATCTGTACAACCCAAAGGGAAGCAGAAGGGCTGTGCTGGCTGCAACCGAAAGATCAAGGACCGGTACCTGCTGAAAGCTCTGGATAAGTATTGGCATGAAGACTGTCTAAAGTGTGCCTGCTGTGACTGTCGTCTTGGAGAGGTTGGATCAACTCTTTACACAAAAGCAAATCTCATTCTTTGCCGCAGAGATTACCTGAGGTAAATAGAGGAACGTACTGTGGGCTCTTCCTGAAGCCTCTCTGTGTGCTACCAGCTGTCTGCCTTTCCTAAGAAAGCATGTGCTTGTGCATGGTTAGTCCTGCCCAGAAGAGACAGGAGTATCTTCCTCTGTCTAAGCATGGCTTTTTTGTTTGTACCTAATGTATTTTGTAGTCAAGGAGGTGTAATCCTGGGTTTAGGTGAAGGTAGAAGGAGGTCATGACTTAGCTCTTTTTATTATGATGAACCCACAAGAACAAACAGTGCCTGCTGAGTAAATTAGGAAAAACCTGTTAATTCTTTATGCATCTCTCTGAAGCTATATTCCTGCATATTGACTGAGACTTAACCAAACCTTTACCTTTTCTTTTTCAGTCATAGGTTTTAGACAGAGTTCTAGTGCTTCTATTGAGTAATGTTCCTCTCAAGGGGCTCTTGTCTCTCCTAACTGAACAGAGCAAAACTGCAAAATTACAGATCAATTTCAAAAAACTTTCTATATGAGGAAGTCAGCAGAGACCATCACTAACTCTGAGTTAGAATTACCCTCTCAGTGTATGTCTGCAATACGTAACGACACATGGGATTTTTTTGCCTGGTGTGTATGGAGGTTTTGTGCAAAATACTTTATATAAACACATATGAATACGAATAAGTCAGCAGGCCTAATGTAAACATTCTTATGATGGTCACACTGCAAAACACTCCAAGTTTTACTGGTTTTCCTTTGGAAGAATGTACTTGATCTCCAGCTAATACGTGTGGGGGGTTTTTATTTTTCCTAAAGCACTGATAGTACTTCCCAGACAACATCAACCAGTAAAACATCTGAAGCAAAACAAACTCAACACACTGTTGTAAGATAAGGAGGTAAATTGCCTTCTTGAGCACAAGTGCTATGAGGAGAGGCTGAGGGAGCTGGGGTTGTTTAGCCTGGAGAACAGGAGGCTCAGGGGAGACCTTATTACCCTCTACAACTACCTGAAAGGAGGTTGTAGTCAGGTGGGGGTTGGTCTCTTCTCCCAGGCAACCAGCAGTAGGACAAGAGGGCACAGACTCAAGCTCTGCCAGGAGAGGTTTAGGTTGGATATTAGGCAGAGATTTTTTACAGAGAGAGTGATCAGGCATTGGAATGTGCTGCCCAGGGAGGTGGTGCATTCACCATCCCTGGAGGTTTTCAAGGTGAGACTGGATGTGGCACTTAGTGCCATGGGCTAGTGACCACGGTAGGGTTGGACTCAATGATCTTTGAGGTCTCTTCCAACCCGGTTGATTCTATGATTCTATGTTTCTAACCTTGCAGTGTCCAGAGACTGGCTAGATTAGTGTCCATGGTCAGATGCTTCATGCGTTTCAGTGTAAAACATATTTCTGAAAATCTTTAGTAAATATTGTCTTAGTATACTTGAACAAAAAAGTTTCTTCTTCTAAAGATGAGAGATTAAGCCCTGAGCCACACAGAAACAATAAGTCAGTTAGCTGCCACTTGGGAGCTGTCACCTTACCTTTCAGCCAGGCAGTGCACAAGAGCATCCTGCCCACATGAGGGGTTTTGATCCTGTTTGAGCTGAAACTTTCCATGGTATAAAATGTCCCAGCTGAAATTCTGCCACATAGGCAGCAGTGGCAGGTCCACATCTGGTTAGCTGGGATGCATCCCCAAAATCTAAGTGAGGAGGAACTTGGGTTAGGGTGAGCACATCTGAAGGGGAAAAGATGGGATAAGCAGCCTTTAGAAAGATGGAAAGGTCGCAGTGAGGAAAGAGTTAACTATCTTCCCTATACTGAAATAATTTTTTCCCTTATTTAAGTCTGAGTATTTACTAATGCCACAAGTCACCTGCTCTGGAAGTATCCTTAACCTTGTATGTGCTAAGCTGAAAAACCCAAGCTCCAAAAGGTTCTTTAAGACACAGATTTCTAACTCTAAATTAGCATTTTAACTGTTCACTGACCCTCCTTCAGCTCAGCTGTACTCTTCCTGCATTGTGGGCATAATTCTGTGTGTCAATGAAGAATATAACAGTTCTTGAATCTTTTTATCTTGAAGCTTTTTATCACAGTTTCACAATTCAGTGGTGCTAGGTACTATCACAAGGAGCCCCAAAATCTCTCAGGAGAGCTACTTCCAGATATAGTCTCCTTTCCAGAAAGAATAGTTGCATTATTTTCTGGATTATTTCTTTTTATTTTATCTTGTTTATCCATTATCTTTTCTTTTTGTTATCTTGTTTGCACCCGCTTGCCAAGCGGTCCAGGTCTCTCCATCTGTCAGTCCTCCTCTTCATTATTTATCATTTATCTGGACTTTGTCATTTGCGTTCTTGAAAAACAATGTTGTCTGTAATTTTATTGTTTTTTTTTAATATGACCCTGAAGATATTCAGCTCTATTCTATGTGTTACAGAACCCTGCTAGAAATACTCAGCTGGGCAGTGTTCCCCATTTACATTTGCTTTTTGAGACCTATGAGCTCCCCCATGCTTTGTTCATTTAATAAGAACCATATTGATTTTGGTTTAGTCTAGTTTCATAACAAAAATAATGTGTGGCATCAAATCAGGCATGTTGAAAGTGTCAAAGGACAGCATTATTGATGCTGTTAAGCTTAGAAGAACCTTTCTATTGCTGCAGTTGTAGACCATTTCTTTCTTTTCTTGGTTTATCCTGAGAATCCTGCTTTGAGGTGGAAAAGCTTAATTTGTGATCTTCTCATTGGCCCCTAGATGACATGAATTTTCTGGGGCACACCAGAAATCTGTGCTAGAGATGGAAAAGAAGCCAGGCATTGCAGACCCCAGGAAACAGCCCATACCCCAACTTAGAGAAGAGAGAGCAATTCATGACATGAAACACGGAGGGCAACAGTTGGGACTAGTTTTTTGACTATGGCCACACAGCTTCTGTCACAGCAGCAGTTAAACGTGGTGTCTGCAACAAACCCCTGTGCCTGAAAGGGGTCTCATAACACCTTTGTCTCCATTTTTGGGGGTAGAATAATTCCTAGCACTCTAAGCTATTTGTACAACTTGGTTAAACTGTGGAGACAAGACTTATGTCGCCTTTACTTTAAACACTTTCCCCCATCTGAATTTAGGATGTTAGAGCTTTGACCACTAGAAATATTTCTTATTCAGTTTGTTGGGGTTTTTTTTTTGTTGGGAAGAACAATATAATTGTCATATCCCAGGAAATTTGGCCAAGACTCAAGTAGGAAGGAGTAACAATTTTTGGGGTTCTGCTGAACTCCTGGATTCTGTTCTCCTGATGCTAAGGAACCCTTTCAGGTTCCTAGGATAGGAATAAGGACATTGCTATGCATTCCCATATTTTATGGAAGCATAAAGCAGGGTTGTGGTTTTTTACTTTAAAACATCTTCTGCCTTCTACATGTAACATTTCTTTCTCTCTCAATTTTAGCTATTAATAGAAGGAGTTAAAGTTGCCATCATCATCATCTCTACTGTCAGTTCACTTCTGGAAATTTGAATTTTTCTTCTCGGAGAATTATCCATTCCCGGGATTATATAATTCCTTCAGATTAATAGTTTTAGTGCCTCTATCCACATTTTTTTTGCCTGGTTAAACAACTCATAGTATTTGATCTACTAGTCAAATTTTATCAGAATTCATTCCTAAAAATAAGTTTTCATACTTACACTGTAGTCACACGATAAAGGGAATACTTTACCTGGAGGACAGTCAGAGAATTCATTGTTGGT